ATTTCCATGATCTCCAGAACAGATTGGCATTTAGGTTTCTTCTCTGCCTTCCGTTTCTCATCACTGCTTCAATTATCCCACTGGGCATAGATCCTGTGTAGTGTGTGTGTATCTATGTGTGTGGGGGGTGTTGGATGGGAGAAGTGCATTTGTACCCTTCAGAAGTAGCAGCACTGTGGTTTTGATCCAGTTGAACTGCCAGCCCAAATCCTTCCTAGGTCTGTGATACTGAGCCTTCCTGAACTAGAAACTGGGAAAATAATACACCCTCTCTCCCAGAGCTACTGGGATACTGTATGTGAAAGTACTTGGAAAACTATAAAGCACTACGTAAATGTTAGTGATTTTCACCTCTGATCAGCTTTGCGGATCCAAAATTTCTGTATTTAGCTACTAACCAAATCAGCATGAGAATGATTCATACGTAATGATATTACCAAGGATGATATCCCTTTGCATTGAATGCTATTTCATATAATTTCACAGTCATTTCTCATATGTAATCTAATTTTGCTTGCACAAAAGAATGTCAATTTTCAATTGTCACAGCCTGTCCTCTTGCCTGAGGAAACTGCTTTGGAAAACCAAATTAAGATCTTTTGGTCGCCTGGAATCAGAGCAAGGAAATTGGATAACTCTAGTTCATCAGGTTACAGTAGCTGATGAGTCACTCTACCTTTCCTCAGGAATATATCCTCCGAATGGAACAGACACTCAAGCCATAAGCTAAATGTGTTTCTTAATTGCCTATGACCTTATGTTGATTGTAAAGACATCATTTTCTTGACGCCCTAGTCTGACTCACCCATCAAACAGCACAATTCCTAGTGTACACACTCAGGTCTCCTTCAACAAATCATCCACTCTGGAATCTCAGAGGTTGAAGATACTTTTTTAAAAAATTAATTTATTTAAATTAGTTTCAAGTATACTGAAGGTACTTCTGAAGTTGAATTGAACGTCTCCTTTTCACATGAGGACACTGAGGATCAAAGATGCCCAGTCACTAGTTCTTCCTTAGCTCCAAACCATGAAAAAGAGAGAGAGAGAAAAAAGAAGAAGAAAAAGAAGAAGAAGGAAGAAGAGGAGGAGGAGGAGAGAGACTAATATAGTGGTCACATAGCTTGCAGGACACTAATGGAAGAAGAAACCTATTAAATTCACTATTCAGAGTTCAATAAGGCTGAAAACCAGAGAAACATGCTTTAAACATATTTTCTAAAATATTTTCTCCATTTCATTAAACCCAGAATCAGAACATTTTTAACCCATGAAGAGCTCTTAGAGACCATCTAGCTGAGCTCCCTCATTTTACAGATGGAAAACTGAGGCCCAGAGAGGGAGTAAACTGGAAAGGAGAGCCAACCCAAATGCCTTCAGCCCCTGAGCTCCCGACAGAGGAGAGCTGTCCTGGGCACTTGGAGCTATCACAGTTGATAATCACTGCTCCCTAACTCAGTGAGATCTCAGGACATGCCCAGTGGACCTCCCTGCCTAAGAACCTATTTAACTGCTACTTTCTAAATTTTGGGGTTCATCCTGGGCATATACCTGGAAATTCAAAATTCAAAGTTTCTTTGAAGAAGTAGTCTCCCATTTCTTTCACCATGCACCAGAGTTTGGGATGAGTACCTGTAGCTGGGATACCAAGTAATGCCCAAAGGGCCACCCACTAAGGCAGAGCTCTCTGAACCTTTTCAGGTTTCTTTCTTTTTCATAATTAAGAAGAGCAAGATAATGTCAAGTCTAGAAACATAAACTCTGGAGTCAAACTGCATGGATTCAAGCCCACTCACCACTTACTAGTTGTGTAACTTTGGGCAGATTACTTAACGTCTCTGTGCCTCAGTTTCTTCATTTGTACAATGAGAACAATTGTACTAGTGTATGGCACTTAAGGTTGTTTTGAGAACTAAATGAGTTAATATATGTGAAACCCTAAGAACGGAATTTGGCCATAAAAAGTGCTAAATAAGTGATAATTAAAGGAGAAAAATGCGCCCTAGCATTTTTTTAAAAATTGAGCATATAACTGAACAAGCTACAATTTTATTTATCATCTCTCTCTCTCTCTCTCACCAACTTCTTGAAAGACTTGATTAGAGGATAATTATTTTATCTGACAAGCAGATTGTACTACAGGTGGAAGAATAGCAGTCCTGAGATTTTCTTGTCCTTTTTGTATCTAAATGTTAATATTATCGTCAATCCACAATGGACTTAATCATTTACTTACTTAGTTTTGTAGTAGTCTTTTTTTTTTTTATGGTGACATTGGTTAACGAAATCCAGTAAGTTTCAGGTATACAATTCAACAGTAAGGCATATATATACATTGCATTGTATGTTCACTACCCATAAGTACTTTTTAAATCCTCTTATCCACTTTGTAAGAGTTAGCCTATCTAAATCTATCATAGAAAGTGGCAAGCTCTGTAAAGGGCCAGGTAGTAAATATTTTCAGCTTTGCAAGCCAGTCTCTGCAGCAACTCCTCTCTGCTGTTATGCTGTGAAAGCAGCCATGAGCAATATGTAAATGAGTACATTTGTTTGTTCCAATAAAACTCTATCTACAAAAATAGGTGGTGGACATAGTTTGCTGACCCTTGATATAGATCATCAAATCCTTAAATCCACTTCACCAGGCTCAAGAAAACTACAATAAGGGTCAGCATCCCAGATGAAGACATAGCACAGCCTGAAGGAAAAAGAATTATGATCCCAAATTTGATGTGGGCAGACGCATGGTGAGGCCAAGACTGACACTGAGTGCAGCGTACCTAGTTATATTCACACTGTGTTCCAGCACAGGCTTCCAGGGGCCCCATGCCAGATTCCTAGAGAGAGGGAGCTCTCACGCATAAAAGGAGCCTTTCCAATGAAGAGCCAGAAACATATGGGAACTAGAAAGCATACAGTAGCCCTTTTTGATGTCTGGGGACTGGGCAGGCCTCTATACTTCCACACGATGTCAAGAGTCCCCACATATGGGTGACATACCCAGTGATGATAGCAGCTATGGCTACAGCCAGGCTAGGGGCTGGAGGAGTGATGTTTCACAAGTGCATGTGAATCTTCCTCAGGTCCCCATGAATGAGACAGGGCTCTAAAATTTTACTGAGTCCCAGAGCACTGTTTTATTTCTAGGATGGTTACTCCCATCCCTCATTTGTACCCAATTAGCATTGGGAAATGCAGGTGAAATCAGAACAAAAGAGATTCCAGAGGGAAGGAAGAAGGATCTCCTGGAGAACAGGAACCGAGGGCTGCACATCTCAGTGTGGCGCTGGCACCAAAGAGCATTCACGCTGGTCTGGAGCCGGCTCCTCCTGCTGTAACTGCGTACATTTGTGTCACACTCATTCCCTCCGTGTTAGAGGTGTGCAGTGCACTAGAAAACTCTTCATAGCAAAACCCAGCAAGAAAACCTCTCTTGGTGCTTCTGAGCAGTGTGAAGAAAATGCTCAACTCCCTATTTATCTAACTACGATATAGAAGAGGCATCATCTGTGACTCTTCTCTCTTACATGCCCCACGTATTAGTTTTCTAGGGCTGCCATAACAAAATATCACAGACTGGGTATAAAATAAATAACAGATTTATTTTCTCATAGTTCTAGAGGCTAGAAATCCGAGATCAAAGTGTCGACAAGATTGGTTTCTTCTGAGGCCTCTCTCCTTGGCATGTAGATGGCCATTTTCTCTCTGTGTCTTCACATGGCCTTTGTTCTGTGCATATTTGTGTCCTGATTTCCTATGTTTATAAGGACACCAGTCATATTGGATTAGGATTCACCCCAATAACCTCACTTGACTTTAGTTATCTTTTTAAAGATCATATTTCCAAATACAATCACATTCTGAAGTACCAAGGATTAGGACTTCAACATATGATATTGGGGGACATGATTTAGCCCATAATACCTCACATTCAATCTGTCAATAAATCCTGGTTGCTCCACCTTCACAACATACCTGGAATCGAGCCACCTCTCACCCTCTTCATCACTGTCATCCTGGTTCAAGCCATCACCAACTCCCATGAGCACCACTGGGTTTACTTCATAACTGCAAATATTGCCTCACATTTCATTCTCCATATAGGGGACAGATGGTCATTTTAAAGCACAAGTTTGACCATGTCACCACTCTATTCAGCCTTGTGAAGTGGATGCTCATCTTGCTTAGAGTAAAAACCCAAATCTTTACCTGTAACTACAAGGCCCCCTAACTTTCCATCTCTAACACTCTCTCCACTGCTTATGGTCTCTTTGCGATTCCACCAACACACTACGCCACTCCTGAACAGGGCCTTTGTTCTTTTGGTTCCCTCTGCTTGCGGTACTCTTGGCCATGTTCTGTTAGCTCTACCCCTCTCCCTCTTCCTTCTTGATTCAGCTCGAATGTCACCTTTTCAGAAGGCCCTTCCTTGACGACCCTACATAAAGTAACACTCCACCTGCACCCCCCACCCCTGTCCTGTCTATCTTCCCTTCTTTACTTTCTCATCTCACTCATGATCAACTGATGTATGTGCATGCGTGTGCACTTGTTT